CAGGGATCGAACTGGCAACCTTGGTGTTATCAGCACGAGGCTCTGACTAACTGAGCTAACCAGTCACCCCCATCATTCCATTTTTATAGAAGAGAATGCATGCTGCCCCTCCAGGGGGCAAGGAAATACCACTCCGGGCAAGAAAGGGAAACCTGAAAGCTGCCCCTAAGGGCACCACAGTCCTGCAGACCTTTTCCTTCCCTTTGAATAAAAAGATTTGTCTTACCTCCCAGGTGACCCGGAGCTCAGTCCCTTCAGGAGTTTTAGGAGTCCTTCCTTAACTGCAGGGCAGTGGTGAGGATCCCATGTGTTCCAATACAGGTTAGAGTCTGGGAAGTACTGAGCAGTCCAGAAACCACAGTGAGGAGAGCGATGGATTCAAGGCCTGCTGAGTGCCGGTCCAGTGGATAAATGAGGTTGAGCAGCTGTGGGCCTCACGGAGCTACTGACCACAGGTGTGCTGTTGGCAAGGCCCTAGGAGGTCGGTTAGCACAGCTTCTCTATTGTCTATGAAGTCCATGAGCCTTCCATCTGGATTGGGGACCCAGTGCCAGAGGTGGGGTGAGGCTGTCTGTCTCGAGCTGCGTGCACCTCTAAGTACCTCTGCAGCCCTGTGAGTTCCCACAGCCTCTCTGTTCACACCACCCTGCTTTACATGGAGCTAAAAGCACTGGCCTCATTTTTAGTCTTCTCTAGATGATCCGCTGGGGAACTGATTTCCAAATAAGCAGGACTTCTTCACCACTTGGTTAATTGTTTTAGATAAAACTTAGCTGCATGTTAGAATATGGTGCTTTGTTTTTATTTTATTTTTTTTATCTTGAAATAATTTCAAACTTACAGAGAAGTTGCAACCATTTGTTATAATTTTGTGAAAGGTGGTAACTTTTGGTCCCCAATTTCCCTCTTAAGGGCCCAGAAGGATGTGATTCCCATTTGCTTAGACTCTGGCTCTCTCCTGGGTTCTGGAAAGGCACAGTGAGCAGAGCCAGTGGTCCGGTGGTATCCAACCTGCTGCGTTTCTATAAGGAGAAAAGGAGGTGCATGAGAACAGGGCTCCTCTATTTCACTCTCTGCCCTCTCCCTGAGGCCTAGACCAGGGCCTCTGTTCCAGGAATGAACAGGTCTTCATCCAGACGAAAGGGAGCGACGGGCCCTTTGGTTTCATAGGCGGCCCACTAGAAACTAAGTACACTATGCCAGCCACGTCTCTCCCTTGCTCAGGTCTTTCTCCTGAGCTCAACTCACAGGGGCAGCCTCTCAAGGCTCCTGGAAGTCCTCCAGGCCCCTCAATATGTCCACAGTCCACAACATTCCTCCGCCTCTGCTTCCTGCTCAGTAGCAGCTTCACACACACCCAACAGCCAAACAGAGACCTGGGCCAGCCTCTCTGCTCTGTCACCTCTGACACCATCATCTCCTAACAGGTTTCCACCCTCCTTTCTTCCTTTGCCTGAGCCAGTTGTTTTCAGGTGACAAATCATGTCCCAACAATGGGTCATGAAATAAAATGTTGTACGTTGCAACTACCAGTATTTTTTAAATGGAATAAAAATATTAGGACAGAATAGATTATATAATAGTACATTGCATGCAGTAAGTATAAATGTTTCATGCAACTTTTATCTCGATTGTATTGGTAATATGTGTGTGGTTGGGTCACATTGTGGCATATATTTCCTCTATCCGTACCGCCTTCTTTCACTGCAGTAGATAGTTGGTCCTGCCACCCTCTGGCTCCATCGCACAGCCTTTGCACATGTCCCATTGCAACATCCCAACTTCATTTAACTTCACGCTCAGCCCTCTGGACCAGCCCGTGGCTTTCCCTCTGGCCATTTGGGCCATCTACTCCCCTTTCCTGGGGGACCTTTTTTCCATCTCTTTCCCAGCTAACTCCTATCTGCCCTTCAGGACTTAGATGAGACTCTGCCTGCCCTGATCTCCCCCCAAGAATGGGTCAGGGGCCTCCAAGGGTGTGGGCCACCAACTCCCCTCCCCACAGCCCATTTCTCCATCACTGTCAATGTTAGGGAGGGCTCAGAACTCATGCCAGGCTGGAAAGCACCCACTCAGGTCCTTTCACTTGCGCCTCTGCCAGCTGGTGGGCAGCAGCCCTGTCCTGCACAGGGGGTTGGGGATCGCCAAAGCCAAAACAATCGGGAGGTCATGCATGGAAGCAACTCGGGCTCCCTCCTGAATGCAGAACTGCTTTCTGCCAAGGCCAGTCAGACCTCAAGACCCGAATCCTAACCAGTGGGCTGCCTGCTGCTTCCTTCCCCAACTCCACTTGCCTTCTTGGAGAATCGGTAATAATAACAGAAACCCATCAAAAGCCACTAACTCTTTGTTTAGCGTTGTATATGCATTTGTTTTTCTGTCTCCTTCCGTTAGCCTGGGGAACGTCTTTAACGAGCCTTTCAGTAAGTGCTTCTGGTTGACACTAAAGGGCGGCCCAGCCCTTCTCAGTGTTTACAGGGAAGCTCTCAGGATAGGCTATAATTAGAAGTCAATTAAATTAGAACCCCTTAGTGATGTTCTTGGAAGGCCTCCAGACTGCAGCTTTCCTCAGGAGAGTCTTGGCCCGACTCAGCGTACACCCATCTCAGCTACCCACCGTCCTAAAGCAAAGGCCAGGTTGTCGGCCAAAATGTTGGTTCCTAAGTTCCCTTTTGGCCTTTGTTTGTACCTTACTCTCCCACCTGGTGAGGCTGCGGGTCCAGCCTCCCACCCTGCTTGCTCCCTGCTAGGAGGAAAGCACCCAAGATTTCACTGAGGGGTGGGTTGGGTGCTCTAAGCTCACCTTAGTCCATTTAGTGTTTTTTGAAACGTAAATGTGGTACTGAGTTGCAAGACAGTGTGCTAGAAAGTATCAAGCGGCAGCTTTTGTATCTCTTCAAGAAATTCCTGAAACCTAACCCTTCCCCAAAGGCCACCTAATGTTACTCACCAGGTAAGAGACACGTCCAAGGTAACTGTGCCAACAGGGGTAAATCCTAGGACAGATCCGGGCCCCATGGGACATCCTTCCCCAGCCTGTCCTCTGAGCAATCAGGGATGCGTTTCTTCCCAAAGCAAATGTCTTTATTGCCTTTCTGCCAGATCTCAAAGTTCCTTTGTGCTCTTCTAAATCATTCTGACTCTAGGAACTATAAAAAAATAAAATAAAAAAAAGGAATGTTTCCCATAATTTCAGTTAGTCACCCCCATCCTATGTCACTCCCTGCCAAAATATCTTTGCTGAAAGTGTAGGAGATGCCACTCCAGACCTGCTTCTAGGCACACAGACACTTTGACAAATACAAATCCAGGCTGTTCTGTGTGACTTCTCCCTGAAGCGCCCCTGAACAGTGTTCCACTGCGTTTCTTGTCATTTGTAATGACACATAAGCAGGACAGCTAAAGCTCTTCTTGATTTTATCCAACCTCTTCTTATGGGGAGTGTGGGTGCTTTGTGGAAACAGAACAGAGGTGTATGGGGGCAAGACAGGCTTGGGGGGCAGGATAGCAGAGCCACGTGCTGCCTGGAAGGCAGGCAGAAGCTGAGAGGGAGGTGGACTCAAAGCTCTTCAGATCTGTCCATCACTGACCTCTCACTACATATTTATGTGTTGGGAGCTTCTCCTAAATGTGCATTCTCTCCCCCCCAAACCTCACTGAGCAAGGTGCTACGTCCTGGCGGAGGTGGGAGAGAGATTTAGAAAAGTGTCTGTACACTAAGGAGTTTAGTTCTCCTTAGCACCACCCCACCCGGCCACCCCATTAACTGGCCCCTCGCTTTCCCACCCCTGGCCCTTCCCCAGCTCTTAACTTACACAGCCCACCCTCTTTCTCAAACTGAACTTCCTTATGTCCAATAAATAATCTTTTGGCTGCAGTTTTCCCTAATGCCTTTAGGATATTGCATTGTAAAGACAACATTCAGGGCTTTTCTCCTAAAAAATAAAAAATAAATGAAAATGGATTTTCCATTTATCGATCTCCTGCTTCGAGCCCCTGCACAGTCATTTTTTGGTGTGGTATTTGGAGGGTGTGAGTTTCCATGATCAGTGATGGCTCACCAAGAACAAGAGGATTCATGGGGCGCGAGGTCAACCTGAGTCACGGTCTGAGTCAGCCGTTGTTTCTAAAAGTTCCTCACACAACCCGCTGTTAGAAGGTGGCACACTGTTTTGTCCCTAACGGATCCCCAGTGTCAAAGCAAGATAATAGTGACCCAGTGTGTGGCAATGACGGGATTTAGGCACTCACACGAGCACATTCTCTCTCATGTGAGAGAGAGCTCACATTATAGCCAGGCTCCTAGGTAAAACTGCTTCGAGTTGGAAACACAGGTCTCCCATTCTGAAAGTGGAAAATAGTACCCCCTCCTTCAAAGCAGTTTACTAATTTAGTAGTTGGGGGAAGCATCTGAATGCCTGGGATGTAGCCATCCTCTGTCCCTTAGGTGTGACCTTCAGCAAGTCACTAACGTCTCTGGGCTTCAGTTGTCTCGACTGTAATGTTAAGTAGTTGGACTCATGCATTCTCTCAGTCGCTTTGACAGAAGACACATCATCGCAGAGAGAGGGAAGAACCTTACGGAGGGGCTGAGAGAGCAGGAAGTGAGGGGATGGGCATGGGCTGGCTCTGGCTTCTGGCATTATCTCCAGGGCCGCCCTGGAGCCAGGGGGTCAGCATCCGTGCCAGGGTTCTTCCGGCTCTCCCAGCAGGTGAAACAATTGGTCATTGCCCAGCGTCAGCAGTGGTCCTCGGTGTGTTCTGGTCCCTCTTCTCTGGAGCTCTTTCCTAGGGATGAGGTGACGCTGGGAGGACGGTCCAAGGTGCCTGGGGCTCAGCTTAAATCTGCCTTTTCTTTTAGGATGTATTCATTCCCGTTCTGCTTGCTTATACCCAGTGGGATACAATGAAGGAAGTTGGACCTGGGGTGGGGGTTGGGCCATGACCAGCTAGTCCTGGAGCAGCCTCAAGCCCTGCAGGTGATGCAGTGTATCTTTCAGGTGAACCCACGGGAGAGGATGACCCATATGGGAGACTGCAAACGGATGCCCTGGCTCCCGGTCCTGGTGGTAAGTAGGTCAGAGCACCTGCCCGCACTGCACCCTCTGCCCACAGCGTGCCCATGGTGGCCCTGCTCGAGGTTCCAGTGGGAGCCATACTGCCTAGAGTCAGTTCCTTGGCCTCTTAGGCCTCAATTTACATGCCTGTAAAATGGGAACGATAATAGCACACCCTTCACCGCATTCTCCTAAAGATGCAAAAAGATAAAACCTACAAAGCACTGAACAGTGCCCAGGGTTCAAATTAGACTTCCCTCGTTGGTGGCTCCCTTTATAGGGTTTCATGGATAGAAATGTCCTTAAATGCGTATTTATGTTGTGCTATACACAACCCAAAGCCTGTGCAAGGAGCCACACTGCGGGCCACACAGCTGAGAAAGATCCAGGCCTCCACCACAGGACTCCTCCTCAGTGGAGGAGAAGAGGCACCATGTGACCGAAAGACCTTTCATTCTAGAGGCTCAGGGGAGGGCCCGCCTCATCCATGACTTTGGAGAGAATGGAAGAAAGATTTTATGGGCAAAGAGGGTTTGGATCAGGCCTTGAAGATGGGATTGGGGGAGAGGGAGAGGCAGGAGTGAGGTCAGACTATGGGAGCAGGGTGGCCTGCCCAGTTTATTAGCTAAAGTTCCCGGGGCGGGGGGGGGCACCAAATGAGCACTAACTGATTCAGCAGGGTCCCCACCACCAGACCCCTTCCTCACTCAGCCTTGGGGGCTGTCTGGACACTGACCCCGAGTAACTATGTGTGTCTTCAAGCAGGTACGAAGGCCAAATGACCCCTTTCTTGTGGCAGGTGTCTCTGATGTGTTCGGCCAGAGCAGAATACTCTAACTGTGGCGAGAATGAGTACTACAACCAGACCACAGGGCTGTGCCATGAGTGTCCCCAGTGTGGACCAGGGGAGGAGCCCTACCTGGTAAGGCCCCCTGCCCGGCCGCCAGACCACAGACCCCCAGGGCCTGGTGAGCGCTCCCTCCTTCACGGGCCATCACCACCCTACCATGCGTTGCTCTGCACGTGGTCCTCAAGCTACATTAAGTGCCCAGGGCGCCCGGTGTGCTCATGTGCCTGATGCGCCCAAAGACCACAGGTTTGGTCATGGCGCGTGTGGCCATTGTACTCACCTGTATCCTCTGTCCCCTCCCTCGGCCAGTCCTGTGGCTATGGCACCAAAGATGAGGACTATGGCTGTGTCCCCTGCCCAGCGGAGAAGTTTTCCAAAGGAGGCTACCAGATATGCAGGCGCCACAAAGACTGCGAAGGCTTCTTCCGGGCCACCGTGCTGACACCTGGGGACATGGAGAACGATGCTGAGTGTGGGCCTTGCCTCCCTGGGTAAGCATGGGGCACTGCCAAAGCGCATCATCCCAGGACGCCTTCTGCAGAAAGTCCTGAACGTCCCATTGGTGAGGACCCCTGGGAACACGAGCAACTCAGGGCTACAGTATTGCATCACTCCTGCAATTTGTCCCATTCTACAAGGGGCAACTTGTCAGAAAGGAGGGCACGTGTCTGGAGTCAGGAAATATGGCATCTGGCATGGCGAGTCCTGCCACCTTTCACAGACAAGCAGCCTACCTAGGCTCAGCTACTGTGTTCTTTAAGTGGACATTGGTCCTAATAATATCTTCTGATTACCCAAATCAAACAAATGTGTTGAATACTTACAATGAGATAACACATTTTTGGAGAAAAAAATCTAAAATTACATACTAAAGTATTCTTTTTAGTATTCTGGGGGAAAAAACTGAGAGTAAAAGCCATTGATAGGAATATTTGAATCATATGGTACCTATAACTCCACCACAATTCTGTCCTGTACCAAAAGTCTTCCTCAAAAAGCAAAGTGAAAATGCAATTAGCCTGAAAGACAGGAAGATAAAATCTTCTTTGACACAGGCAGGACACTTCAAGCTCTACCTACCTGAAGCAAGGAACGTACAGCCTTGACACCCAGTGAACGCCAAGCTACGTCTATTGCAGCTACCTCCCTCTAGTGGCCACACAACATAATGCTTGCAAGGGCTGCATATAAACCAAAAGCAGTGGTGAAGGCTACAGGGCAGTAGGGAGGAGATAGAGGTGGTAGAGGTGGTGGTGCTGGTGGTGATGATGATGGAGCTTGTGATGACAGAGGCAGTGACAGCGATAGTGGAGGTGGTGATGATGGCGGTGGAGGCAGTAGTGATAATGGTGGTGATGACAGAGGTAGTGGATGTGATGGTGATGATGACAATGCAGGTGGTGAAGGTAGAGGTGGCAATGGTGGTCATGGTGGCGACAGCATTGTGAATAGTTCACTATACTTTACAACCCGCTTGTGCACATGTTATCTCACTGTTGAATTAAGGGGAGGAAGAAAATAAGAATGATATACCCAAATAAGAACATTGGGCATTATTAGTCTATGAGAAAAAGGAAGTGCAAAAAAGTCAGAAAGTCTCACCAATTTAGGAATAGTAAATAACTCTTGAAAATGTGGAGATATTTTTAAACTTGCAGAAATTAACCTTAGTTCAAAGTTTTTACTAAGAAGCATTTCCATAGCTTCCACCACCGTATCTCTTCTTGTGACGGCCCACCCCTACCGTCAGTCTCCCTAGTTTTCTGTCTTCCGTTCAGCCCTACCTCCTGAGCTGCAGACCTACATATCCAAATATCTGCTGGACAACTCCAGGTCAATGTCCTTGACACAGACTATGATTATTCAAACATATTTCTCAAACGAATAATGAAAACAGGGAACCGTATTGCAGGAACTTTTTTTCAATATGTAAAAATGCAGGTAGCTATACCCAGGGAAGATATTAAACTATTCTCTTAGAAAATATGATAAAAATAAAAGTTCTCTGAGTAATCTTTTTAAAATAATTTTTTATATTTCAGTTACAGTTGACATACAATATTATATTAGTTTCGGGCGTAAAACATAGAGATTAGACATTTATATAACTTACGAAGTGATCTCCCTTATAAATTTAGTACCCACCTGACACCATTTATAGTTATTACAATTACTTGTCACGGTGTCGTTTATATGGTATCCCTCATCCTGAGCTAGACAGGAGTGGGGAGTTTAGCTCCTTCCATCTGACAGACTTCCATCAACATGAAGCCGGATGTTCCTTTAGGGATCTGTGCCCTTCTAAAGAGTATTGGGTCCTTTGTCTTTCTGTAAAGGTCTACTTTCCTACTCTATGCTCTCTATTTTGACTTTTCCCTAGATTTTTTTTTTTATCTTTCTGCTTTTCTCCCAGGATTGATTAAGGTGAGTAGCCCAAGACAAGACTCTATTTAAATAGAATCTCCTATGTAGAAATTGACTTCCACCAAGTCAATAGGTATATACTTGCAGATTTTCCCCAAAGATTCCCTTTTCTCAGGGCTCCTAAGCTTGTAATAGATGCCACTGAGCCATCGGATGCTCCCTTTGTCCTCCACAAGGCTGGTATGTGGAGTCAACCACTGTGTCCTTCGCCCCAGTCCTCCAGCCGTCCTAGAATGACTTATTCGAAGGGTGTGGATGTGGTGTGGGAGCCAGACAGCAGGAGCTTCTCCCGATGGGTAACATGATGCCCTGGGGAGATTATGAAATCTCACCTCTTCTCGCTTCCTCTTCTCCTGTTTTGTTCCCTTGTCCTCCCACACAAGCCTTTCTCAGCCGCAAAGCCCCATGTACTGCTCATTGTTCAGTCAGTGTCTCAGCCATACACTGATACACAGCGGAGATGGCACATAATAAAGAGAGTGCTTGCCAAACCACAAGGGGAGAGCGGGCCAAGGCAACCTGTGGCATTAGGAAGACAAATAGGAGGCAGTCTGCATCCGCAGCCTGGGGACCACAGGGGCTCAGGAATGAAAACAGCCTTTCATGGAGCTGATAGCGTCAACCTGCCAAAACTCCTTATAATCCTCCTTTGTGACATAGCATGAGAGCTTCGTTTTGCTCTCAAAACCTAGGATACGTAATAGGAAGCGGGAGGCCTTTGGGGTCCTGCCCTGGTGAAGTACTGTGCTTGTTAGAGCCAGTATGAAGAGGTTGGGGGGCTGGAGATAAAGTAGGGGCTTTCTATTTCCGTGCCCTTGGGGCTGGGAGTGATTTATTTGAAAAGTCATATCACAGCACAGAGCCAAACTGGAAACTGACTACACACTTTCACATCCGTGGAGTAATGAGAGATCATACTGAGATACGTGTTGAGATGATGTGTCTCCTGCCCAATATCCCTCACTCACTCAATGAGTGCTCTGGGCCTCACCTCGTCCTGGGTGCTGAAGACAGAGTGTGAAAGAAGCTGATCTCACAAAGCAGGGAGGGAGTTCCTCAAGATTTCAGAGCTGGAAAGACCCTGTTAAGAGCACAGATGCTGGCCTCCCCACTAATTCTACAGATGATCATCCTTATCTTTCGAAGCCCTCTCAAGGCAGCGAGCTCACGACCGTTCCATTGTCAAACTTCTTCCTGGGACCAAGAAAATTGTCTTCATTGCCACAGAACAGTGGCCAAGCTGGCAGCTGCCTATAGTACAGGGTTATATACTGCGTTGGTCCCATGGCTTATCCTCTCTGGCTAGAATTTCTCTGTGGGTACAAGGAAGAATAAAACAGGCTGCTCAATGTGCATACCTACTGCCTCTTTTCCATCATCTGGAATAAAATCTGGCTGAATCTCACAGGCTCCTGTGAGATGTATGCACGGGTCTGAACCGCGGCTGGGCCAGAGCCGGCAGTGCTGATGGGCCAGGCTCCATTTTGCACCCATTCCTCTTCCCTCTCTACAGAGCTACCTCACTGGAGGAGCCCATCTGGGGAGTGGCTCCCACACCGTTAATGGGTAGGTGACTTCCAGGTTCGGCCTGAGCTTCATACCTGTTTATCCATCTATGTATTAAATACGTTGGCCTGGATGTCACAACCACCTGTATCTCCTCCATCTTCCCTCCACCGTCCCACCAAAATTCCTCTTCCTCCTATATCCCACGTCTTAGCAAATGGCATCACTGTTCACACAGATGGCCAAGGCAGACAGCTGAGAGTCCTCTTCAAAATCTCCTTCCCCACCTCCCACATGCACTCGGTCAACGACTCCAGTCACTGCTATCTTCCAACAAGCCCTCAAATGTTTCTTCCCCTCCAACTTCCCATGCTTCCACCTGGCCCTGGTCCTCACAACTTCCCACCTCATCCCTGGTCCCAGGGCTCTCGACTCTTCCCTACTCAGCACGTTTCCCTCGCTGCTGCCATTAGGATCATTCTAAGGTACAGCCTGATTGTGTCCTACAGGGTGTTAAGACTAAAATGGGCTTAGTGGTGGTCCTGCTTTTCGAAAGGGGAGGAAAGATGCACTAAAGACTCTCGGGGCTTCTGTCTGTCTCAGCACTTTGAACTTCCATGGAGAAAAACTTGGTCTCAGTCATTTGTTTTTCAGTCAACACTGGCCTAGAACCTTCCCTCCTCAGTACCTAGTCCAAGGTACTAGGGATATAGGTGTGAACAAGGCTGGCCCTAAGGGACTCTCAAGTCAGGAAGAGAGACCATCGCAATCTGGGGAAGAAGAATGCACTAGAGGTGAAGGCGAGAAGAGGAGCAACTAACAGTGGTGTCTACAAAAGGTCGCTGCCACAAATCTAATGCCAACAGCAGTCTCCAGTCTGGGGTGTGGTAAAAGGAGAAATTTTATTGAGGTGAAAAGTTTGCAAACCAGGGAGATGCAGCCTCTAGTAGAAACTGAAGGTGCACTCTACTCAAAGGGGAGGTCGCTTTTTATAGGGCAAGTCCCCACACTTGTCTCTGATTGGCCCATTTTTATGCAAATGAGGAATCCAGTCTGGTCCAAATAGCACTGTCCTGATTGGTTGGCTTCATGTGTTCTGGTTGGTTGTCATGGAGCCACTCTGATTAGTTATATAGTTGCAAATGAGTATATAGCTTCGTAGTTCTGATTGGATACCATTGGTCAAAATATGAAACCAGGAATTCTTTTATAAGGGTTGACTCAGCTAGCAGGAGCACAGTGCAAGGGGCTGAAGCTTTAGTCTAGTTTTCCCTGAAATGCAGTGTGTGTGAGAGGCCTCTGTCAGCAATGGCTGTTACACTCAGGTTATGAATTTGTGTTCAGTTAACCATGAGGAGTCCTTCTCAGCAGATGTATTTCTTCTCGGGGTTCACAGTGGCAGCACTGTGATATTAGAAAGCTGCAGGGGGACTGGCCTGGCTGACCTGGAGCCTGTCACCCTCATGAGGCCACATGCAGACACATGCCCCCTCCTGGGAGCAGATGCACTGTGGGCCTCAGTATCACTTCCTGCTTCCCAAGCACAGATGGCCTCTGAAGAGTGGTAGAATGCATGTTTGAGAGAGGCTTTTTCCAGAAAGCTTAACTGTGAAACTGGCTCTTGTGGCTTCTCTGAGGGGTGTTTTGAGATTGGTTAATTAATGTTTATAAGATACACAGAGATCTGAAGATAAAAGGCTCTGAGGAAGGGCCAGTAATTATGATCATAATATTACTGGTAATGGTCCAGCTCATGACAGCTAGAGTCCGAAGACCCTCCCAGCACTTCTGCACTGTGCTGCCATCAGTGGGGGTCTGGGTGTGCATGGCTAATAGAAAATATTAAAGGGCCGGCCAAGTGGCGCGTCGGTTAAGAGCTGCCTTGGGATGCCAGAGGGCCCCGGTTCGGATCCCACATATGAGGGCCAGTGACACTGCCCTCTACAGCTAAGATGCTGAACAACAGCTCAACCTGGAGCTGGGCTGCTGTGAGTCGCCGGAGACAGCATAGGCTGCAGCCCCTGCTGCAGTGGGTTGCCATGGGCTACTGTATGTAGCCAGCAGCCAGCGTGAGCAGCTGTCCAAAAGCCATCGACTGATCTGCCTCGCCCAGGAAGAGCTCAATGATGGTGCCAACTTGGGCCAGTGAAGCAACGTCCTCCACAACTAGACTGAAGAACAAAAGGACAGCAACCTGTCTGTTCCCCTCCCCCCAATTCCCCAATAGGAAAAAAAAAATCCAATAGCACAGAGGGGTTTTTCATCTTTTAAAATTGCAATAAGGGAGAACATTGGCATCAGCTCATTTTATTTAACTGATTTCTCACAATGCGATAAATTGCTCCATGATGATGGCTGAATGGGTTTATTAAAATGGGCACACACGAAGAGAAGTGCCAACATCTGCAGGCGGGAAGGAACCTGAGCTGTGAGCCCCAGAGGGGAGGACTGGGAGGTGGAGGTCCCGGAAGGGGAATGGACTGCAGAGAACTCTGACTTGTGGTGGCAGAGCTCTGCAGGTAGGGCATTCTGAGAGTCGGCATGGCGGTGGGGCTGGCATATTGACATCAGGAAGCTCAAAAGACATAATGGAACATTGTTGGGAGTAAAGGACTTCAGACACTCTTACTGCGAGTGATTTGTCCTTTTCTTTAAGTGCATGTAACCCCAGTGTGAACTTACATAGGTGTTTTCAGTCAAGTGTTTCCTGGGGAGGAACAAATAAATTTCAGTTATGACCTTGCTGTACTTCAGGCTATCTTTAAGGCCCTCTGCATTCACCTCTCTAGACATTGCTGTAGCCATGCTTTTCCGGCCAGCTCCATTCAATCTTGGTCAGCAAGTTATCACTGGGAGGTCCCAGGGTCCCAGGAATAGACACATCTGCTAGTAATCCCACTGGGCTACAGGCTGTGAGATGGGCACTCGCTGACAGGATCCTCCTCCTCCAAAGGTGCCTGGAATTCTGGCTGGCAAGACACCTCAAGAACTAAATAGTGTATACGGGGGGGGGGCATGCAGATATTTCTGGTAATGATTTTGATGGAGAGGCTGATGGGATACACACACTAAACAAATTCATCTGTGAAAGGAACCAAAAAAAGGGAAGAGATTTTTTTAAAGACCCAAACTGGCCCAATATTGGAAAAAGAATATTCTATTTCAAGATCAGCTGAAAACCCCCAAGGAAATGCAGTGATCAAAATAGCTCAGCAGGGCTCCCGATGCCCACGGTGTCTGTCTCATGCCTGACTTGGAGCCTGCTTTGGTGGTGGGCATGCCACGTGGTCAGTACTTGCTTGTGGTAACACCCAGCTCACCTGCCTGCTTTGTCTTGTCTTGTCCTCCCTGTAGCTACTACATGCTGGAAAACAGACCCAGGAACATCTACGGCATGGTCTGCTACTCCTGCCTGCTGGCGCCCCCCAACACCAAGGAATGTGAGTGCACTTTGTCCTTCCATCAGAACGGTACTGGTTGGTTCAACATTCATGTCTTTCATTACACGGGGTGGTAGGTAGAAGGCAGTCCTGGAACCTAGACAAGTTAACTATAGGGAAGGCACACACAAGAGCGCTCCCATGGCTTAACCAATCAGGCAGCAGGTCCGTGAAGGAGGTTGGCTGTAGCTGAAACATGAGTCAGAGAGACAGGTCAGTCACCTTGGAAAAGTGACCTTGAACAAGTCGCATAACCTCTATGAGCCTAACTTTTCTCATCTGAACTTTGGGAATACTAAAATCTGAATAATCCATCTCATGCATGGCAATTGTTGGAAAAAACAATGAGATCACAGATGCCAACGTATTTTTCAAAGTACTACAAAGTTCTAGACAATTGTTAGTTCTCATACATATATTTGTTTTTTAAATAAAGGATGGCCTCCTGAATGAGGCTAAGGGAAATACAGGGAGTGATAACAATTAATGAAATAGATTCCATGAAGCACATGTACACAATGAGTCTCACAAGCTTAGAATCTTGCCTTGGGCTGTTTCTTTTCCATTCTCATTTGGTTTGACTTTCACGGGCCTGTTTATGAGGAAGAGCCAGGAACCTCTCTCTGCTCCCAAAAATGTACTGTGTGGTCCTTTGGGTCTGTGGTCTGGAGAGGCACTGGCTCTCAAAGCGGGATGGGTGGGCAGCTGGAAAGAGGCTGGAAGTCTGGTCCCTAGACCACAGCTCCGCTCCCACTCTAGAGCAGAAGAGGTGCCCACACTGGAACCCTGCCTCTCCTGAGTCCCCATAAGGCGCTGCCCACTCCATCTTCTCACCATAGTCTTATCTATCTAATAGCAGAATAGAAGGGCCTCCCTCTTGAGGGCGCTCCCCCTCCCGCTCAGGTTCAGCTGGAGGGGTTGCTCTGGGTGGAAGGGGCAGAGACCAGTTCCTCCCTTCCAAACTGCTTAAGTAGAGGAGCCTGGCAATAATAAATGTGTAAGTCTTTAAAGCTGAGCAGTGCTACCCAGCCAAATGCTAATTAATTCACGAGTTTGAGGAGGCCCAAGGGCTCCAGACTGCCTGCAGGACTGTAGTGAAGTCAGTTGCCATTGCTGACAAGTCCTCTATACTATTGTAGATAGTTCTGGGATGAAGTCCTCACCTGGGAAGATGTCAGACACTCACCACCTGTTTAGAAAGGCTCTTTGCCTATGGAACCTGGAAAACAAGCAACTCTTCCTCATGGGGCCCTTTTGTTTGAAAGCTCAAACATTAAAGTGTGTCCTTGTCAATGCCTGGGGCTTGCAAAGCCCCCCCACCCCCCGAGTCCTGGAGACTTTGAAAATGAGTGCATCCCCCTCCCGACCCCCAGCCCTTAATTGCTTAACTGAAAACCAGCTCCCAGTAAGACCTCCTAGGGGTTCGCAGAATCTAGCCCTAGGCTTTGTGGGGTGACATGGTGAATGGAGCCCTGCCTGGACCAGAGTCTCAAGTGTGGACATGAAAGTTGCTCTCTCCATCCCTGGGACCTGCCCTTCCCCCTGCACTGGTTCTCAATCCAGAGAGCTTTTACCCAGGGCTCCTGCTCAGAAATCAGCAAATAGGGCTAGTAGGGCTGGTGGTGATCCCAGCCTCCGTAAAGACACCAAGGCCCAAACTCACAGAGTTGCCATCAGCAGCTCCATCCCCACAAAGCCAGGAGCTAGGTGAGCCCTCACCGGTCAGGACCACAACTCACCAGCTGGCTGCCCAGGCCCCACGAGGCTCTGCCCTTCCCGAGCCCACAGTCACTGAGAGCTCCTTTGCCTTCACCTGAGAAGCTTGCTTTGGTTTTGTTTTGATGTGATTTACCTGGGCCTTTGCCATGTGAAACTAATGCTCTTGATACCGGAGTCAATGGATCGTGGATTACACAACCCACAAAGAGAACTTGGCATGGACCCCAGGGAAGCCATGTGACACAGGCACACACAGATGAGAGCTGGAGGGGGCCAGGGGTGCCAGCTGTGCAGGAGTGAGCCCAGGGCTGCACAGTCTGAATCAGTGCCTGGGGACTCCCGCCCTCAGGGATGCAGCACCAGTACTCTTTCATCCTTAAAGAAATAGGGCTGTGATTCACATAGGAGCCCTGACAGCTGTAATCACCCAGGGCTGGGCCTCCCCCTGAGTCAGCAGGTCCAGGTGGAGCCGGGAATATAGGTTAACAGACCTCACTGACAGCCCTGATACGGGTTATGGGCCCGACTCTGGAACTTCACTGCCTGAGTTTCAATTCCTGTGTCACTTAGACAAGTCATCTAACCTCTCAGAGCCTCAGTTTCTTCACCTGCCAAACGGCACCCACCTCGTCTGCTGTTGTGCGGCTGGAATGAGCGGCACCTGCAGAATGGCTGCAGTGTGGTTAGTGCGTCATGGCCCATCCACACACAGGATGGGCCACACAGTTATTGTTAAAATGGAATAACGTCACTCTAGTCTCCAGGACCGCCAAGCAGTATGAGGGAGGCCAGAGGATGGCCGCTGGTCACCGTTGGTCCTGCCGTTGGACTGACGGTCATCTTCATGCACACAGATCATGTGTAGAGCTTAGGGTGGACCCCGGTACTCAGGGATTGTGAAATGCCATGTAAGCCATAAAAACCTCCCTCAGTTTCTGTTCTCTCGCCTGTATAATTGAGAAAATAATATCCTGTCAGTGTACTAATCAGCTTGTCACCTATGTGTACAAAATACTTTGAAATTGAAAGCACGAAGCAAGTGTAAATGACGATTCTTCCATGAACCACAGGAGTGTAGCAGGATCGCCCCAGTGTACTCAAGGGCTTTGAAACAGGGCCCCCTCCTCTCCTGCTTGTGGCTTTCCCGTCAGGAAAGCTTCAGGCCTTTCTTCTAGATGCTTGGGCTGCGGTGAACAAGCACAGCCATCCCCACTTCCTGTGCCATCATTGTTTGTGTCCTGGCAAATCAACATTAGATGGAAGTGAGAGAAGAAGCCCTTCAGCTATTTTTCAGTGACATCAAAGAGCACAATCCACTTGCTGCCACCAAAGCTTTCTGCACGTGCCTGTGGGCTGCCTCGAAAAGAAATCCATGTTGTAACAGCAAAGAAATGGCCTGGTGTAATAGAGGAAGAAAGGGCATGGCCTCAGATCTGGGTTTCATCAGCGTTTCTACTCTTGGGAAAGTTATCTAACTTTGTACCTCAGTTTTCCCATCTGTAAAATGGGGCTATCCGTCTCATAAGATTGCTGGGAGGAGGAGATGATGTGTTAAGTACATAGGAAGTGCCCACTCCAGTGTGCAGGCAGCAGGTGGTAAAGCTTCAGCCTAGCAGCTGAGCACCACCCTGGGCCTCCCGGAGCCTGTGCAGCCCCACCTCAGACAGCTGACTTCCTGTGCCTCATCAGCTCACCTGGGACACAGCGATGCTTCCCTTGTTGTCATCATTGCTATTATCACTCATCAGTGACTACAACCCCTGAGTCAGTCCAGGATGGACTCGCCTTCTGGAGAATTGCACTGTCACCAGGAGTGCTGTGGCACATTTCCCTTTAGATGTCATTATGTGATACCCAACAGTGATGTAACGCCAGTGTGAAGCCTTGGCCTCCCCAAATGCCAATTTCCAGCTGTTTCCAATGTAGTGTTCCTCAAACTTGAATGTGCACACCAGTTACCGGGATCCTGTAAAGAAACAGATCATGATGCAGCAGGTGTGGGTTGGGTTCCAAGACTGCCTTTTTTTTATTATTATTATTTTTTTTATTGGGGAATTGGGGGGATGGGAACAGTGCTGGGGGATTGGGGAAGGGGAACAGACAAGTTGCTGTCGTTTTGTTCTTCAGTCTAGTTGTGGAGGACGTTGCTTCACTGGCCCAAGTTGGCACCATCATTGCGCTCTTCCCTGGAGAGGCAGATCAGTCGCCGGCTTCTGGACGGCCGCTCACTGCGGCGGCTGGCCGCTCACGCTGGCTGCTGGCTACATACGGTAGCCCATGGCAACCCACTGCCGCAGGGACTGCAGCCTACGCCGTCGCCAGCGACTCACGGCAGCCCAGCTCCAGGTTGAGCGGTTCTTCAGCATCTTAGCTGTGGAGGGCAGTGTTCACTGGCCCTCATATGCGGGATCCGAACCGGGGCCCTCTGGCATCCCAAGCGAGTTCTTAACCATCGCGCCACTCGGCCGGCCCCAAGACTGGCTTTTGTAGCAAGCTCCCAGAGACCCCACTTGAAGCAGCCAGGTTCTAATGACTCTGCCCACTGTTCCAGGACCTGCCACTAGGGGACCACTGAGCCAATGCAACAGCCTCAGGCACCCTTGATGACAGCTGTAAGAATCAACAAATCATTCCTAAAAGCCCAAGCTGTTCCATATGTAGAGAATGCCAGCCATCTCTAATACGTACAGGCACATTTGTAAATTGTGTGGATTAACGAACCTCAAAGCCCCTGTAAATCCTATCATCACATTGAATAGAGGTATAACTACATTAAGCCATATGCTTACAGTTCTCAGAATCCTCCCGGGGAAGGTGAGCGTCCTCCCCAGAGAGCTCCCACTGGCCTGTACTTACTAACCAGAGTCAGTGCTGCTGCCTCAAACTTACATTCCACTTTCTTTCGTTTTAGTGGAGTCCTTGTGTGGAAATTTCTGCCTATTTTCTGGGACTACAGTTTCCACCAAACTTCTCCTCCCCCTGTGATGTAATACCACATTTTTAATTACCCAAAGCTGGGCTCCAAATGGAAGCATTCTGGATCAGTGCTTGATCACCCAACAGACACAACATCGAGAAACATTTTCATCAATGATCCATTCAAAGGAGGCCATGTGAACTGGAAAGACACGGCACGTGTTAGAAGAAAGGGAAAACTCCCAGGTGCCAAATATTTTTATTAGTGCTGAGTTAATCCTCATGAGACCAGAGCAGAGCCTGGAAAAGGACAACGTGTCATGCAGGGTCCTAGGGGAAAAGGCATGCTATCCTGAGAGCACCTGCCCACAGAGATAGACCTCTAGTCATGCAGCCTCCCTGCCCACTCACCCTCTTACTCCCCTTGGACGTGCTCAGAACACAACAGTCCAGGCTGGAGTTCACTTGGGGGACCATGTCTAGTAAATCAGAGTAGAGGCACAGCCCAACTTGACACCTGACTCCGGGCAGGCGGGTACCCACCGTGCACATCACTGACTTGCATACGCGTTGTCTGGTCATGTCAGTGTGTCCCCAGCCCTGCCAGTCAGGGGAAGAAGCACTTTATAAGTCTGCGCGCTGCTGGTCTGCTCTCATTGTCCCTCTCTAGACCACAGGCCTGGGCGTGTTTGTGTGTCCAGCCCCCACCTCTGTCACCCAGCCTCAGCCAGCAAGCCCCGGCAGAAAGGGGCAAGAGAGACCAAGATGACAAATGTGCACAAACAGAGCCCACAGGTAGCCTTTTCCTGACTACATAGCTTCATCTCCCTGGAGCCCCTTACCAAACAGATTAGTTTCGTTTTCAATGTCCTATCTGCTTTTAAAAAGGAAATCAGTTAGGCTTGAAGCTATGCCCCTGTTGCTTTCTCTCACTTCACTGGATGAAGTTTGATAGGCTGCTTCCCGGCACGATGCAAACAAGGCTAAAAATCTGAAGTCCGTTTTCTCGTTCTGGGACTTTCAAAGGGAATCCACATGGCATGTGAGTAGTGAAAGACTGAGCCTCCAGGTCCGTCGTTTGACATGAGCAGCTGTCAAGAGACATGCACCTCTCCCCCGGGGAGCACACACCTCCACCAGCACCTCCCTGCGAGGCCTCTGGTTCTGAGGCCAGGCGAGAAGGCTAAATTAATTCAACCTCATTTAAATCTCTTCTAAATTGTTAAGATTTATCATAAGTTTGGGGGTAGAGGGAGCTCTTTATCCTCCAGAAAGGCAAAGAAATGTCTCTGTAAGCTCTGGACACCAGTGGGGTCCATTCCCAGGACACAGCAGGTTTGGGAAGCCCCAGCGGGGAGAAAGACCAGCAGCCATCAGCGCCATTTCTTCTCCACCCACCCACCACGTCCTACACCCCACTTCTCTGCTTCCTGCCCCCTCAATGGCCGGCCATTACAGAAAGAAGGGGCGAGGCCCCAGGACACAGCGGGGAGCCCGGGAGCATCGAGGAGTTCCCCTCTGTTCCAAGGTCACCTCTAGGGTCTCTGCTGATTCAAAGGGCAGCCCATGCTGGCCTGCTGCCTCAGTGCCCCTTACACCTCTCAACACCCTTTCCGCTCTTGGTAGAAGAGCTAAGAATCCATCCCAATGACAGCTTGAGAAAACAGAAAGAAAGAAGTAGGAACTACAGAGCTCAGCATGCCCTGCAGAAGGAAAAGACTGCCCCATCCATCATGTGGTGGTCTGGGTGGCACCCACACCCATGTCTGAGGCAACGCCGCAGGTGACAGAAACCAGGCAAGGGGGCAGAGGCCACTATCAGTGACGTCCCTGGTCTCCAGAAGTGGCAAATCCCCAGAGAAGAAACGCCTCTGGTTCTCAGAGCTCTGACTCACAGTGGGCTGTTTTGAACAACAAGGAAAATTGCTCTAAGTATGGGCTGGAAGGACAGCAGGATGGCGCCAGTAACACATGCCCTCACCTAGCCAACAAGCATCTTTGGGCTCCCCAGAGCCAGCCCCTGTCCAGGGTACTGAGGAGGGCGTTCCTGACATTCGGGTTTGCCCTCAGCTGGAAGATCATATTTCTCATGCGCCCGTGACAGTTTAATTTCCTGTCCAACCTGAGCAACAGGCCAACCCTGAAACATGTGGCACCTCATAGAAATGCAGGATTACACCAGGAGCCAGTCCTCAGCCTGCCCCTGTTTCCTCCCAAACCACCACTCTATTTTATTTGTAGAGTTTTCTATTTGCTTTCAAAGGTGTGAGGATTAGAAGTTTCTGGCCCTGTTCTCCTGTGACCTTCTCTATGTACTGGACACAGATGTGTGGATAATTCAGTAGGATTTCTTTGCCCGGTTGGCTTGACCACTATCTCCTGGGTTGCCCCAACCTGTGTGCAGGTGGCTTTAGAAATACCACACTGATCCAGTGGCTGTGTTTCTCCTGAGAACTTTTTCTTAAAGAAAATGTCCCTGTTTCTCACAGAAGCCTTGCTGACCAGGGTCCACACATTGGGGCCATTTTTCCTGGATGGGCTGCTGGGAGGACAGACGTGTTGATTTTAGGGAAGCCATTTGTCCTTATTCAGGGCACACCTACTTCCTCAATTACTGCAGAACTGGTAGAGACAAAAACAAGACAGGAAGAAAGTTATTTCAAACGTGATCATTTTTATTAACTGCAAAACTCAAGTCCGGTCTAAAGGAGGATTGGCCATCAGGAACTCATCTTTTCTGTGGTAGATCTTTTTTGTTTTAACTGAATGATTTAGTGATTTGGCTGATCACAAAATTAGTTTCCATTTCATCCCTGCTAAGTGACACTTTTCACATAGAATGGGAGTTTTATGAATCACAGTTTTAAGGGAACAGTAACCTCATGCCTGCTCTTAAACAGTTTGGTCACAACTGTTTTAAAAACATATCATAGATAAAATCCTAGAGGAAAATACACCAAAATGTCAACTTTAGATAGTGAGGCTGTGGGTGATTTCTTTTACTTCTTTCTTATGTTCTGATTTTTTCCAGGTTTTTTTATAATGAGCATATCTTACTTTTGTAACTTACGTAGCATATTATTTTGTTACTTTTAGGGAAAGTATTAAAAATACATTCCTGTTCTATGTCATTGAATTACTCAAGTATTATTTTCCCCCAATAATACTTGTATGTACATACATATTCCTCATTTTTATAGATTGCATAGACTTTATCCCATTCATAAGAAAATCAAGTTGGAGAGTCTTGCAAAGCCCCCAGACCCTGCTGCTTACTTTTAGCAGTTATCTCTCAGTGTGTCTTACTTAAAGAACAATAACCCTTGAGAGGTCAGAATGCATTTGGGGATTATAAGCACTCTAGGAAATGAGAAGGTTTCCTCACCCAGCCCGCCCCCTCTAGCCCATGCATAATCCAGACTTCAGATCAGTTAGCTCAGTTGCCACATCTTGCGTTTCAGGGTTGAAGGTGGGGCTTCTGCAGGTCATCTGAGGGATGCACAGTGACTGTTCTCCTTGCAGGTGCGGGAGCCACTGCAGGGGTTTCTGCCAACTTCCCCAGCACCTCTGGCAGCAGCACCCTCTCTCCTTTCCAGCACGCCCATAAAGGTAGGGAGGGCGCTCAGGTATTGATCTTCTGGAGGTAACCCCCTAGACGTAAGAGGGGGCTTGGGTGAAAGTGGAGAGGAAGAGAGGAAATACTTATCAGGAAGGACTGTGGAGCTCTTTCCCAATTGAAATCACCTCCCTGATATGATTCAATGACACGACTCCCCCCAGTTGCTGGCAATTAGTAATTATCTCTGTAAGGAGTGACACTGATCACTCCATGGGTGCCCTGGGCCCATTAGAACATGTTGGTAAGAACGGCACATTCCGAGGGCAGCAGGAGTGGTGCTCAGGGTGCCAGCGGTGAGGGCAGGAGGGGCACCGCTCCAGGGCTTTGGCGGGGCCTGATGTCAACAGCAATTCTATTGCTGGTTTTCATATAAACCTGCTGATCTCAACACTTTAACATCCATTTCCAATAACTACATTTTACCCCCAAATCCTTTCACGACGGAAGGATGGAGGAGGACCCCACAATTTCTCTCAGGGCAAGACCTAGCACCGTCTCATTGCCTTCTGTTGTTTAAGCAGATTTAAGCCCGAGTCCTCAGTGAGGCTTAGGGTGCCTTCAGAATCCCACGGTGCACTCAGCACACACACCAGGTCCCCAGACTAGTAGAACCAAGGGCAAGCACCCCAGGAACAACTGGGCAAACCCAAACCATGGCGTCCTGGAGAAGTCTGGACTTACCTCGGTTGAGACCTGCACGGAGAGCTCAGTCCTGACGAGATGGCCAAAGCAAACTCGTAGGACTGGGTTCTCAGACTAAGCAAGCATTTTGGATGCTGAGGGTTCCCTGGAAGTGTCCCACGGGCAGAGCCATTGCTTACAGGGTCCATGTTCTTGGAGGAGAAAGGGCCCCACCTGATGGATGGGTTCCTGTAGGGATGCCTGCGTCCTAAGTCCTGCCTTCTCTCCCTGACTTCAGCAGAGCTGTCAGGCCAAGGACACCTGGCCACGGCCTTGATCATCGCCATGTCCACCATCTTCATCATGGCCATTGCCATTGTCCTCATCATCATGTTCTACATCATGAAGACAAAGCCTTCGGCCCCAGGTGATGGCTCCCCAATACCTGCCCCACACCCCCTCCTCTCCCTGGGGACTGCTCCGTCAATTTCCCCAGTCAGGGAGCCTGGCTGCTCACACCTTTCTCTTTCTCCAACCAGCCTGCTGCACCAGCCACTCAGTGAAGAGTGTGGAAGCCCAAGTGAGCAAGGAAGAGGAGAAGAAAGAGGCCCAAGGTCTGCACACAGTCCCCATGAGCGTGGGTGTTTGTCTCCAGGGTCTAGACTTTCTGCCCCTCTTGCCGCTACACCAGCACCCTGACCTCCTTCCTGGCTGTGCTCTCAGGCCACTTAAAACAGGAGTCGCAGGACGAGGTGTCAGTGACCCCGCGTTGTGCTTAATCCTTGGGTCAGTGTGGCTGAGTCACCAGGCAGGGCTGCTGAAGAGGCAGTGAGCGGGGGGAGGACAAGCTCTGAGCTGGAGCCAACTGTGACGCCTCCTTCCCCCCATCTTCCCATTTACCTATAGACAGTGTGGTGATTTTCTCTGAGAAGGACGAATTTGAGAAGCTGACGGCAGCTCCGGCAAAGACTGTCAAGAGGTAAGTCAAGCTGAGGCAGCCCCAGCAGCCCCCAATTCCAGGCTGAAGTCGGGGGGTCCTTGGGAGTCCTCATAGGAAGGGGAGCTGGCCACGCCAGGCGAGGCGTGCATGAGAAGCCTGGCAACCGGCCTGGAGGCTGTGCTAGGGACAGCTCCAGAAGGAACAGGGCCCCAGGGACCAGGAGGGCAGCCCCCGTCAGCACGGGGTCTCAGCCTCACTGTTCACCTGCAGCAGGGGCCAGGCGGTGACAGGGGTGGGCCATTAACACCTGCCTGCTGCTCTGGGTCGCCCTACTCCCTTCCTCCAGGGCCAGATGCCCCAGGCCTTTCTCTTCAACTCTGCCTTCCTCCTGCAGACCCCACAGCTTCCAAGTGCCCCCACCTCTCCAGGAGCCAGGTTACTATTAGTGCTGCTGCTGCCAGTACAAATATTGACAGCACCATGCTAACGCTGGAACTGTATCCCCATAATACTGTAACAGTGGTGACAGTGATGGCTACCAAATATTCGGTGTTTATTACCCACCAGGCGTGAGTGTGTTACCACCATAAGCCCTATGAACAAGGTGCTAACATTATCCGCGTTTGTAGGAAGCCAAGGTTTGGAAGCTGTCATGTGCCTATGGTCACACACCCAGCGAGTGGCAGGGCTGGGGGCAGATTCCAGGCCATCTGGCTCCAGTCTATGTTCCATAGGCTTTGGACCAACCACTAACGCTTAGTGAAATAAGGCTTCTTAAGGAAAAGAATTGACATGAAATCTTTACCGTATTTACCACACACACACACACACACACACACACACACACACACACACTAGGATGTGGAATCAGCCACGGCTTTAACCTCTCAGGGAAGTACACTTTCTATTGGTGATGTGAGAGGTCACCAAACTGGTTACAGGAAGAACAAAGGTTAAATCCCTCCTCTCCTGACCCCCAGCCTTTGACCTTTCCAGGGTATATGTACTCTTGCAAAGCTTTGCATTTTAGAAATGATAATGAACCCAGATATCTGTGAAGAGCTTTGGTGTTTATAATACACTACCAAATTTGTTATCTCATTTGGAAAACTCAACATTCCTGACACAAGGGCGGGAAGCAAACTCAATGCATGAAATCTTCGCTTACTGGGAAAGGAAAGCAGATTTTGTGCGCTCAACTTGGCAGTCCCTCAGGGAATGGTTTCTGATAACGCCTTTGTTCCCAATGATCGTTTTTTCAAAACCCCAGGAATTTGCGGTCTGTCCTTCCAGCTCCTGTCATTCCCAAGGGGGAGTGGGGGAAGCCCTAAAAAGGGCAGAGACACATCCTGTGGCTTAAGTTTCCTCTAAAGACTGAGGAAATATTTTGGGACCCTACTTGAAAAAATATAGCTTATTTCATACACAAGTGTTAAATAGAAATTAACACTCAACAATTGTGTTTTAGCAGACAAGGCACTGAGCTTTCATCCCCTCCACTTGCTCTCAGGTCTAAGGGAAAGGACCTGGGGCCACTCGGTGGCCTGAAGACAGCAGTGCTTTTCCACCTTGCTTACTCTCAGGGACAGCGCGGCAGGCCGGCCAACTCCCACGATGCCTGAACCCTCGTGGGTTTTACCCACCATTTTTGTTTTCTTTGTATCATCCTGTCTCTAGGGTTATGTTTGAGTGTGGGCTTCATTACTATAACCCAGTTACTAGCAAATATAATTCTTTATAAGTCTTCAGCCAAACCACAGGAAACAAGCAGGATGCTGACAAAAAAAGAATGTTGGTTTTCAAATATTTGGAATGATTTTGAGAGTTTGAGCTTCAATCCACATGTGCCCAGGGCCGTGGGCCTGGCAGTGAGCTGTGGTGTCACGTGAGCCCACCTGCCTTCCTGTGTGGTTTCCTGAAGCCCTTCCCTGGGCTTGCTGTGGCCCTCGCCCCATGACACACACATGTAGTCAAGAGGAGACCCCCCAGGCTCTGGCTCTGTTCAGCTTTGTTTTCAGTTATTCCAGAGAGCTGGCACCAGCCACATCAACTTGTTTGCCACATGAAGACACAAGGTTGAGCTTGGTGCTTCTCTGGATGAAATCGTAGGAAGCTGTAACACAGTCAAGAACCCTTTCCTGAACTCTGTGGCGTGGAGGGATGAGCAGATGCCATCCCAACCTCACTGGCGCCCCACAGCCCTGAGGTGCTCAGGGCCCCTCCCCTCACACAGCACCTGTGGGCCACCCTACATCCAACTTCCTTATCTGCAAAGGAGTGGAGAGCAGGCTATGTCTTTCTCGTCTCACGTCCTGCGCCTTAGGCCCACGGGCTGCTTAGTAAAAGGCTGAGGAACAAGTCACCACATCCTGATTGTCCCCACCATGGAGAGGCCATGTCCTCATTGCACCTTCCCAGGTGCCGTTAACAAACCTCGTTCTTGTTTCCGCAGCGAGAACGACGCCTCGTCTGAGAACGAGCAGCTGCTGAGTCGGAGCATGGACAGTGACGAGGAGCCCGCCACCGACAAGCAGGGCTCCCCGGAGCTGTGCTTGCTGTCGCTGGTCCACCTGGCCAGGGAGAAGTCAGTCGCCACTACCAAGTCGGCCGGGGTGAGACTCTGGCAGCCCATCCACGCACCTTCCTATTTACTGGTGCAGCGGGGTGATGCACCAAAGGACTCGGCCTCCCTGTGGAATAAGCTTTGCCATGTGGCACAGCGGTACTCCCCCAAGCCCAAGCCAGGGAACCTAGATGGAATAACAGGTTTAAAGCAAGATATTAAAAAATGGAAAACTTATTTCTCTTATTGTATAGCTTTATAGAAGAAAATGAAAAATAATAGGCAAAGACACAAGTTAAAATTGCTTGGAATGCCATAAGATAGAAATATTTAATTACATGTCTGGTTGTAAACATGCTGGCATATATCCAACCAGACATATAATAGTTATATTAATAGTTAAATAGCACTATTTATATAGTTTCTATACATAGCTATAGAACATTAGCTATATATATTAGCTATAGAATATATATCTAATGTTCTACATATACAGTATATATATTCTATAGCTATGTATAGATATAGTATACACATTTCTTGTAAAAATGCTCCACATGGTTTGTCACCTGAAGCAGGCCACCTTGGGACCTGCCATGGCAGGGGGTGTGGGCAAAGGTGCACAAAGCCCTGCCCCCGCTTACCTGAGAGTCCATCTGTTATATTATAGCCTGTGGTTCATGGCAGCCTGATCCAAGCATCACATCAGCTCTGTTGCTAGGCAATGCTGCTCATGGTAAACGTGTCCCTGATGGAGACGCTGGATCAGGCCTGAGTCCTGACAGGGATATCATCCTCTGGGCTGCCCAGTTCAGTGACCTCTGCAGCAGGGCCTGTCCCTTGCAGGACCCTGCAGGCCTATGGAGCTGTTACGAGAGATTTTGGCTCCCACGGGGCTTGGGACCTTTCAGCCTGGTCCACTTCTGCACCTGTCCATCATGGGCCTCATTTTCTGGCTGCCCACTGGCAAGCTGGGGTCCCCGACATTATCCTTTCAAGACAGACTGATGCCAGGTATGGCCCCCGGGTGTCTTCTGAGTTTGAATGTCCAGTGGAGCCTAAGAATCCCCCCTCCCCACCACTGGTATTAAAGGTGCGTCAGTTGGATAACGCAAAGAAAGGCTTCTTCTCTGAATTACGGGTAAGATGTTCATATACGGACTTGATTCAACATTTCTGATTGGAAATCAGGGAAGAGCAGTGATCTGCCAACACTGAGATGGAGGACTTGGTTCTGTGTTTGCGACCATTTTTCCTCTTTTCTGAAAATTTATATTCTCTTTACTTCTTTTGTTTTTGATAGATTCAAAGTCGGAGGAAAAAGATACTGGATGTGTATGCCAATGTGTGTGGAGTCGTTGAAGGTGAGCATCCAAGAACTTTTCCAGGGGGCACTTACCCCAGGTTTCACCCCTGACTGTCAACAGTCACAACAGGCTCTACAGGAGTCCCGATGCTCCTGGGAAGGGACTGGGGAAAGTTCCTCATCAGAATGGCTGGCTGAACCGACTTCAATGTGGAGGGACAAGGAATTTGGCTCCAAACTATGTTAACACATTTCCCCAGCATGTCCTATTGCCCTTCCCTCACAGGACAAGGAGCCAACATCCACCCCAGTGCAGGACCTCGCTTTAGGGACACGTGGCATCAGGACACCCAGGTGCTCTAGAAAACGGGTGGAATGAGCTAGGTGTCCTCCCGTGCCCCCAGATGCGCTCTCTCCATTGGCGTTATCGTCTTACTTACCCAATAATAGCTGTCCTCCCTCCTCCCTCTAGCAATTCGTGATGTGTGGGTGATCTCCCCTCATTAAGATGTCTCCTGAGCGAGCTGAGCCGGCCTGACTCACCCTGCTGCAGTTGGGTTATGGGCAGGCAAGAGGCAGTAAGAGTTTATATTCTGACTGTATTTCTACCTGACACCAGAATCCATACTCCCAATTTCTTCCAAATCCAGTCTAGATGAGATAGAAACCCTCATCACTGAGGTTAGGGAATTTTCCCAGGCTTCCTCAGGCCACTCGGTTCTGTCTCGCGGGCTCCCTCCATGGACTTCCCAGTCTGAGCAGCCGAGCCTGGTGCCCACTCATTTCTCCACTCGGGCTGAATCCCACACACTGAGTCCGGGCCAGACTTGCTGGTTGGGTACTCTGTTGGCCAGAAACAACTACTGAGGATGAGTTCAGGGGGCCAAGAACTCTATTCAGCTGCTTGCTGAAAGGTGGCATTTCTCCATAAATCCTCATGTCCCAGGGTCAGCCTGTCTGATCATGCCTGCATGTCTGGGAGCCATCAGCTGCCCAGTAGAGGATGGTCCAAGAATGCATCCTATCACCCTCATAAGCTCTTCTTTGCTCTGAAAGATGTCTTGGTTTTAAGAGGCCATACCCCAGGACAGTGGTTTTTCAAATTAATTTTAGGAAAGAAAAGCCTCTCCAGTGATATTGAGAGTGCGACGAGCTTGACGCCCGTGCACTCAGCCACCCTCTCAGGTGCTTTAGAAGCCCAAGAAGCCGCGCGCACAGCCAAGGCTGAGAGCCTTAGACCAGCAGTGCCCAGCCCTGGGTGAACATTAGTTACTCAGAGAGTCAGTCTCACACTCTCTCTCTCTGCCCGTCCGCCTGCCCCAAGATCCTGATGTAATTAGTCTGGGGTGAGTCCCAGGCATCCATGTCTTTGTTGTGTTTTTAATGAAACTTTTCATTTTGAGATCATTGTAGATTAACATGCAGTGGTAACAGATGATACAGAGAGATCCTATAATACCCTTTACCCAGTTTCTCCCAATGGTGACATCTTGCGAGACCATCCCTAAAAGTCACACCATGATATTGATATGGATACAGTGATGACAGAGCCCATTCCACCACCAGAAGGACCCCTCTGGTTGCCCTTGTATGGCCACACCCACTTCCTACCCACTCCACCCCCTCCTGAGCCCCTGGCAACCACTAATCTGTTCATTTCTATAATTTTGTCATTTCAAGAATGTTATGTAAGTGGAATCATGCACCATGGTAACCTCTTGCAAAGGGCTTTTTTCATTCAGCATAATTCACGAGATTCATCAAGGTTGTTGCACGTCTTATAGTTTGATTCTTTGTATTCCTAAGTAGTAGCCCATGTTAAGGATGTACTACAATTTGTTTAATCATTCATCTATTTAAGAACATCTTGGTTGTTTCCAGTTTGGGGCCATTATGAACAAAGCTGCTGTAAATATTCATGTATAGGTTTTGATAAGAACATAAGTTATCATTTTCTGGAATAAATGCCTAGTTGTGCAATTGTTGGGTCACATGGTAGTTGCATGTTTAGTTTTTTAAAAAACTGCCAACTGTTTTCCAAAATAGCTGTACCGTTTACATTCTCATCAGCAATGTATGAGTGATCCAATTTCTCCACATCTTTGCCAGCATTTGGTGGTGTGACTATTTTTTATTTCAGTCATTCTGGTAAGGTATATTTGATATCTCTTTATGGCTTTAATTTGCATTTCCATAATGTTTGAAAATCTTTTCACGGGCTTATTTGCCATCTGTATGTCCTCTTCAGTGAAATGTTTCTTTATGTCTTCTGCCTATTTTCCAATTGGATTATGTGGTTGGTTTTTTTTGCTGTTGAGTTTTGAGTTTTTTTAATGCATTCTAGATGCTAGACCTTTGTTAGATGTGGTTTGTAAATATTTTCTCCACTTTGTAGCTTGTCCTTTCATTCTCTTAATAGGGTCTTTCCTAGAGCAAAGTTTTAAATTTTTTTTTTTTAAAGATTTTATTGGGGAATCGGGGGAAGGGGAACAGACAAGTTGCTGTTAAGTTTTGTTCTTCAGTCTAGTTGTGGAGGATGTTGCTTCACTGGCCCAAGTTGACACCATCATTGCACTCTTCCTGGGTGAGGCAGATCAGTCGCCGGCTTCTGGATGGCCGCTCACTGCGGGCAGCTGCTGGCGGCTCACGCTGGCTGCTGGCTACACACAGTAGCCCATGGCAACCCACTGCAGCAGGGGCTGCAGCCTACGTCGTCGCCAGTGACTCATGGCAGCCCAGCTCCAGGTTGAGCTGTTGTTCAGCATCTTAGCTATAGAGGGCAGTGTCACTGGCCTTCATATGTGGGATCCGAACCGGGGCCCTCTGGCATCCCAAGCCAGTTCTTAACCAATGCGCCACTCGGCTGGCCCAAAGTTTTAAATTTTGATGAGTCATATTTATCATTTTCCTTTTATAGATTGTTTTTGATATCAAGACTAAGATCTCTTTGCCTTTCCCTACATCTCAATTATTTTCTTCTATAATTTTTTTCTAAAAGTTTGAATTTTATATTTTGCACTTGAGTCCATGATCAATTGGAGTTAATTTTTACATAATATAGAGACTTGAGGTTCATTTTATTACCTATAGATGTCCAATTGCCCTTACACCATTTGTTAAAAAGGATATCTTTCCTCCATTGAATTGCCGTTGCACCTTTGTCAAAAATCAACTTAAGCATATCTGTGTTGGTCAATTTTCTGGGTTCTCTGTTCTGTAGCATTGATCTGTATGTCTATCCCTCTGTCAAAATCAGTCTTGATTCCCGTAGCTATGTAATGTCTTGAAATCAGATAAACTGAGTGCTCCCACTTTTCTTTTTTTCAAAATTGTTTTAGCTATTCCAGTTCCTTTGCTTTTCCATATAAATTTTAGAATAATTGTCCCTATATCTATAAAATATCTTGCTAGGATTTTGATGGGAATTGCAGCAAACCTCTGTACCAAGGTTTGGGAGATTTAACATCTATATTATGTTGAGTCTTCTAATCCATGGTATGTCTCTTCATTTATTTAGAGTTTCTTTTATTTCTTTCACCAGCATTACGTAGTTTGCAGAATACAAGTCCTGTGTATATTTTGCTAGATTTATGCCTAAGTATTTTATTTTTTGAAAAATTGTAAATGGTATTTTACTTTAATTTTAGTGTCTATGTTTTAATTGCTAGTATATAGAAATACAATTGATTTTTATATGTCTATCTTGTATCCTGTGACCTTGTTGAAGTCACTTATAAGGTTATGGGAGTTTACTTTTAGATTCCTTGAGATAATAACATAGATAGTCACATCTGCAGATGAGGACAGTTTGATTTCTTTTTTCCCCAACATGTATGTCTTTTCTTGCCTCATTGCACTGGCTATAACTTCAGCACTATGTTGAATAAGAGTGATGAGAGCAGAAATCCTTGTCTTGTTCCTGATCTTGAAGGCAAAGCATTCAGTTTTTCACTAGTAAGTGTAATGATAGCTCTAGGTTTTTTATAAGTGATTTACATTAATTTTATGGATAACATTAATTTTTAAATATTGAACCAGCCTTGCATCCCTGGAATAAAGCCCACTTATCATGCATATATTGCTTTTACTATATTGTTGAATTCTACTGTCTAATGTTTTGTTAAGGATTTTGCATCTATATTCATGAAGGATATTGGTCTGCAGTGTTCTTTTTTTGTACTGTATCTGGTTTTGGTATCAAGCTAATACTAGCTTCACAGAATAAGCTGAGGAGTGTTGCCTCCTTTTCTATTTTCCATATTTTATGTAGAATTGGTTTTAATTTTTTGAATGTTTGGTAGATTTCTCCAGAGGAACTCTGTGGGCCTGTAGATTTTTCTTGGGGGTGTGGGGATGATTTTTTAAACCACAAATTCCATTTCTTTAATAGTGATAAGGCTTTCAAATCATCTATTTCATGTTGGGTGAGTTGTGGTAATTTATGCTTTTTGAGAAATTGTTCTGTTTCATCTAAGTTTTTAAATTTATGTCTGTAGAATTGCTTGTAGTATCCTCTTATTATCTTTCTGTTGTCTGTGGGGTCTGTTATCATATCCTCTTAACTGCTTCACATTGGTAATTTGTGTCTTATTTCTTTATTTTTTATTTTTTGCCAATCTTACTAGAGATTTGTCCATTTTATTAATCTTTTCAAAGAACTGGCTCTTTTCATGTTTATCTCTATTGTTTTGGTTTTTTTCAATTTCAAGTGCTCTTATCTTTATTATATTATTCCTTCTGTTTACTTTGGGTTTATTTTGCTAATCTTTTTCTATGTGCTTGAGATGACAGCTTAGATTATTGACCTGAGACTTTTCCTCTTTTGTAATATATGTATTTGTGATATAAATATCTTCTCAGTATTGCTTTAGGTGTGTACTGCAAATTTTGATGTTGTAGTTTTTATTTTGATTCATTTTAAAACTTTCTTTCTGATTTGACTCAGATAACACCAACTTTAGGCTGTCTTTGAGAGCACCTCTCATAAAGGTGACTACCGTCCCCATAAATGGACACGGTACTGCCCCTATGACCTCCTTCTCAGCCCAGCTCCTAATAAGGCAGGGTTACTCAACTAAGAATAGCCTGTACTGAAGGCTTTGGTGACTGCTGAAATTGGTCTTAAGGGGATTACTATAACAGTGAATATGGTGGTTATTTTCCTGAGAGGAGAAAGGTTATTACTGGGATTAGAGTTCATGGAGAGACTTCTCCTATGGTTGCCGAAGTCCTAGGTATTGTTCACCTTAAGCTATGCATTTCTTTTGTATGGTTTTCTGCATCTGTGTTTTATTATTTTACAACGTTTTGAAAAAGGTTTTAAAAATAATTTTACTGGTGTTGGGCTTCTGTTGACCGCCATTTGCAATGTCTGACTGTGCCCCTTAATCTCCACAGGTCTCAGCCCCACGGAGCTGCCATTTGATTGTCTTGAGAAGACGAGCCGAATGCTCAGCTCCACATACAACTCTGAGAAGGCCGTTGTGAAAACATGGCGTCATCTCGCCGAAAGCTTTGGACTAAAGAGGGATGAGATTGGGGGCATGACAGATGGCTTGCAGCTCTTTGACCGCATCAGCACAGCAGGCTACAGCATCCCAGAGCTGCTCACAAAACTGGTACAAATCGAGCGGCTGGATGCCGTGGAGTCCTTGTGTGCAGACATACTGGAGTGGGCTGGGGTGGTGCCACCTGCCTCCCAGGTACCCACTACATCCTGAGGAACATACCTGTGGACTGTCCTTCTCAGGATGCACCAAGAGTCTAATGGGGGCTCTGGAACTGTGAGTGGTGCCAACAGACTACCCAAGAATCAAAGCTTTTTCAGCTATATCATCAGGGTATGCCTTAGGCTGTTCCAGGGAACAAGAGGAAATGAGGTCTGTCTTCCAGTCTAACTACAGTTGAAAGGTGGGTAGCTAGGCTATTCCCTGCTACCCACCGGCACCTCACCAGATGAAATGAATATGTATTCATCCAGCCAGCCCACCCGCCATTATCTCATTCAAGGGACATTGTTGGGTACTCAAATGAACCAAACAATGTGGGGATGACAGAGGTGAAGAATCTGATCCCTGTTTAAGGAGTTTACAACCCAGTGAGAGACAGAAGATATGTCCACAAACCACTTTGCTAGAAGATGCCATGCAATCTGAATGAGGGGATTCTAAGAAAATGTAATAAAAGTTCTGAGAAAGAGAGAGATGGTTTCCCACTGAAGTGATGGAGGCATCCTCATGAAGAAATCAGCTCAAAAGTTTGGTCAAATGACTACAAAATGCAGACACCCCACTCCACGTATTGTTTCAGGTTTGGTACAAGTGGCTTCGTTAGAATAACTTTGCTTATTCTTGAGGTCATCCATATTCCTACAACCTTCCTAGTCACTAGTGGAAGAGTTCACTCTGTAGCCTGCTTTATGTCATGATATGCAAGGCATGTATTTGTCCAATCAAGTAGGCCTGTGCAGTAGTTAATTTCATTTGCTGTGTGAGTCTTAGACCTGGGAGCTCAATGGTTTTGTATTATACATGAATTGCCTTCCACTCTCATTCTCAGTCAGATTTGACCCTTTGGGGGCAGCAGTACTCAAAGGTCACAAGCCATTTACATTATGTGTCAGGCTGTTTTTGCCAGAAAGAGAAATGAGTGGTTTGCTCTGCTGAGAAAGGGAAATGATGACTTCCTAAGAGTTCATCCATGCATAATTCTAGATTTCCAGAGTGTTTAAAGACTTGTGGATGAGACGCATGATGTGAGGGTTTTAGACTTTGTACTTCTGAGCCAGTTGGGGAAAGTGGCGCCCCCTGTACAAGGAGAGCCTGCTTGGAGTCCAGGAACCTGGTTCCAGTTGTGCCAACTTGGGCCATTTTCTTCTCCCTCCTTAGGCCTCAGTTTATCTTCTGCAAATGAGAGATTAGTCTGTGATTCTATCCTCACAGGAAAAGGAAGGTTCAGCAAAAAGAAAGTGGAGCTATAGGAAATGCCAGGCCTTTGAGGTGCTCCATGGAAGTGAATACAGTACGTCGTCAAGAAAAATAGGAATAAAAACAGAAAAACTCAGATTTGGAGTTTTCACAGAAACTGCAATTTCTTAGCATAAATTCAGAAATAAAGTTATTAAACTGACATGGTTCTTGGTAAATTCTTTTAACTGCACCTGCAATTGCCAAGAGCTTGGGAGCCAGGGTAATAATCACACCAGGGGGTTAGTTTGGAGAGCACTGCTGAGCTCCCCAAGGACAGGTCTGACTGTGATTATTACTAAATTAAAACCAGCCTCTCACTAATAAAGCAATGGTTTTTGTTTGTTTTTTAAATTACAAGTCGCATGACTGAGCAAATGCTTTGGGGGAAGAAATCAGTCATATGTTTAAAGCCAACGAGCAATTTCCCACCAATGAATGTAGAACATACTGTGATGGGATCATAATGAGGTCCTGAATATTTAATATCATCATTTACTATGTCTGTGTGCTGCTGTTTGTGAGAACCCATTTGGTGTATTCTGCAAGCTAAATATGCCACTGCAAAACTTAATTACCCTTTTTAACTCTTCTTGAAACCCTGTGGTGCCCCTTTCCTCTGCTTTGTGATTATGATGATGATGATCTCCCCCTTGATTAGACTGCAAATGTCACCTGTGATGAGCATGCTGTTCTGGAATAATAGCTTGCAGCTTCTTTAGAACTACATTTTCAGGGAAAGAACAGGGGTGGCTGTTCTCTGCCCCCCACTCTGGGGGAAGTGTCCCTCATTTCACGTTGTTAGAATTCTGGGGCCAGAGGTCCAGCCAGCATCAGACCACGTTTCATTGACTCTCAATCTGCCATTTTTAGAGAGCTAGTCATTATAGACTTACACATTCCTTTGCCATTTACTTATTTGGAGACCAATCCCAGGAATGTTTACTCTGATAAGCTTTAGCCTACCTATGAAATTCAAACCAATGAGACCATAACGACTATCATTGACCGAAGCTGGGACTCCACCCTGCCATTTTGAACGGAGACAGTCATCATTTTGCTCTACTTAAAAACATTTAGAAAAAACCCCAGGCTAGAGCTGTGGCCCGTAGCCAGTGAAGTCTTCTCAATTTTTTTGTCTAATTCTGTATATATAACTTATTGTATTTTCCAGTTTCAATAAACAAACTAATAAACAGGAGAACTACAGACTGCTACAATGTGAGTTCTTGGGGATGGGAGGTGGAGAACGGGAGAAGGTTCTAGTTATTGCACTGTGTGTGATGAGACTCTAGGATTGGAACCAGCCAGATATAAATTACCTAAAACGTTATGTCACTCAACAGAAGTGAGCATTATAATGAGATCATGTAAAAGCCAATTGGGGCATTGCTTTCCTAGTTGCCAACATTAGTTTATAAAGCACTGATTCACTAAGCTACTGCTGTGTAACATACTGCCCCAGCATTCAGTGACTTAAACTAACAATCATTTGATTATTACAGTTCATGGGTCAGTAAGGGTCCTAGGTGACTAAGGCTGGGGCCTCTGCCTGCTGGGACATTTTAACTGGGGTAGCTCTGCTCTGTTGTTGCTCCTCCTCCTCCTCAAACCAGTCATCTAGCCAGGCATGCCTTCATGGCAATGACAGAAGCACCAAAATGAGCAGAGTCACAGGAAGTTTCTTCCGGGCTAGGCTCAGAACTGGCACTCCATCACCAGTAGCTCATTCTATTGGCCAAAGCAAGTCATATGGCTAACCCAGGGTCAAGGGAGGGAAATAGACCCCACCCTATCTGAATGAGGAACTGCAAAGTCAAAGCGCGACAGCTGAAAAATTGGGACAGATAATGCAACCGTCCACAGGTATATGAGTTTCCTACAGCTGCTGTAACAAATTACCACAAACCTAGTGGTTCAAAGCCACACACATTTATGATCTTACTGTTCTGGAGGTCAGAAGTCCTAAAATCAAGTTTTCAGCAGAGCAGTGTTCCTTGTGGAGACTTTCAAAGACGGATCTGTTTTCTTGCCTTTTCTAACTTCTGTATTCCACCCATATTCCTTGGCTTGTGGCTCCCTTCCATCTTCCAAGCCAGCAATCATAGTGCTCCAACCTTGGCTTCTATCACCACATGTCCTTCCTGTTCCTGTTTTCCTTTTTCCCTAATAAGGTCCTTTTTGATGACACTGGGCCCACCCAGTAATCCAGGATAATCTTGCCATTTTAAGATCCTTAACTTAATCACTGCTGCAAAATTCCTTTGCCATATAAATTACATATTCACAGCTTCAGGGAATTAGGTGTTCGTCTTTGAGGCACCATTGTTGTGCCAACCATACTAAGTATGTAAATGGTTGTGGAATATGCCGTATTTCCCCATGTATAAGACGCTCCCATGTATAAGATGCACATTAATTTTGGGGCCCAAAATTTGAAAAAAAATATTACATAAAGTTATTCAACTCAAGTTTTATTCATCATAAAATTCATACAACTCCTCATCACTGTCAAAACTCCCAACCATTAGCTTGTCCTCATCGGTGTCTGATGACGAATCACTGTCTTCATATATTGCCTCTCATGGCTTTCTTCTGCTGTGGAGTTTTCAGCAGGGTTTCTTCTTCCCGTAGCCAGTCTTGGATTGTTTTCTCAGTTGGAGGAGGACCAAACTTATGTTCAGCAGCACCATTTCCATTGACTTTTGCAAACTGGATCACTTTTAACTTGAATTCAGCACTGTACAAAAATCTTTTCTGAGCCATTTCTGGGCAGAACGTGGCAAAATGGTAACCTACCGTAATATCCCGGTAACAAGTGCGAAACAATGAGCACAAAGACAACAAGCGCGAAAAAGTGGGAAATGCAAGTAAAAAAATCTATGACGACTGTATAAGACACACCCAGTTTTTAGAGCCCAAATTTTTTGGAAAAGGGTGCGTCTTATACATGGAGAAATACGGTAACTATGTAACACCAGCAGAGGAAGCACTGTTCAAAGAATACTTCCCCACTGGGTCTATTTTCTTGGGTGGCTAAAATGTAAAATAAGGAGGGGCTGCCTTCTTGCTGAAGATTGAGAGAAACGATGGAGCTCAGCAACAAGAGCTTTACCTGTCTGACTGGATGAGCCCTGCTTTCCTCCAGCTCCAGCCTCAGTGGCCCAGAGGAGATGTGGCAGTCACATGAGCTCCAGTCTGAATTGGAGGACATCCCTTTATTTGGGGCTTTGCTCAGACCTTTTTTTAAAAAATATTTCTAGTGAATCATTCACTTTGGTAACAATAATGGCTTCAGAAGCCTAAATGACCTATTGGCTTTGTGCAGAACCAATGCCTAAGCTGTATTTTGCTGCTTCCCTCAATGCATTGAGCCCTTCAAATGCATCTTGTATTTCTTAGTAAAAAGCTAAAATCCTGGAGATTCCCATTTATGTTGGAGTGCTTTATGAACCAGGAAAACCTGGAAACAGCACAAACCTTGCATTGAAAAGTCACTTTGAGGGTCAGAGGAGTCCTTCTCAGCTACACGTTTTGGTGCTGATATCTCGTGAGCTGCTGAAGTTTTGTAGGTATTTCATTCAAAAAAAGAAAGAAAAGGAAAAAAAATTAGAAAGAAAAGCCCAGTAGAGAGATAACCAGAGGGCAAAAATGGAGAGAGAAAATTTAAAACCCCTTTCCTGAGAGTCACTTCAAGCTTAGCCTATCACTCAAACTAGAAGTTACCTATTGGTTCCAATTAAACAAAATAATTTATGTTCTTTTCAATCTTGTTTTCATAACTCTGATCAGCATCACTCACACAGGATAACTGCTGCACTCAGGGAAATATTCTTATTCATTCATAATCATTTGCCTGGGACTTAAGAGTTTTAAATCATTCCTCTATGCTTCAGTTTTCTCATCTCTAAATGGGAATAATAGTATTATGTTGCTTTTATAATTGTTGTGAGAATTAAATTAAGTAATAAATATAAAGTACTTCATCTGGCAAATAATAAGGTTCAATAAATGTTAGCTATCATTACATTATTATCTAATCTTGATAGGTGTGAAAGCTAATAAGCTAACTGCAAAGAATTTTCTAAATAAAATGCAGGTAGGAAAGATGATTATAAGGCTTACAATTATCATTACTAGGAGAAATAGTACTACTTGGAGAAATATCAGTGTAGGACAGAAGAAGAGGTCAGTTCAACTGAAGAAAACGCCGGCACACGTTTCACTGCTGTCCGTGATGGTGACCTGGAGAAGGAGCCACCGGCTCCCCAGAGGGGAAACCAACAAACTTAAACCTGGTAGAGACCCAGGTCTCCAGGTCCTGGAGCTGCCCCACCCAGAAATAATGGCAACCTGCAGGAAGAGAGGTCTAAGGGGCCTCTTATAATGCAGAGGCTGGATTGTTTTGTGTGTGTTTTTTTTAAAGATTTTTATTGGGGAATTGCGGGGATGGGAACAGTGCTGGGGAATTGGGGGAAGGGGAACAGACAAGTTGCTGTCGTTTTGTTCTTCAGTCTAGTTGTGGAGGAC